GCTCAACTAGTCTTTAATGACTTCTCAATTCTTAACTTAGATTTCTTGTTACAATTTTACACTGATGACTGTTGGTTGTATCAAATATTGTTTGTTTCCAAATGGGGTATTTTTGTATTTGAAAGTAAGAATTGAAATCGCGGGCTAGACACTTAATTTTAGAGTATTGATTGATTGTAAAAAGCTCCTTCCTTAAGTCGATAAGTGAGATGTATGGCATTAAAATATATAAACGCAGTTGTGTATTTTTGATAAATATTTCAGAGGAGGAATTATCTTTAGAACCTAGCATACAAACACGTAGAGAGAGAAAGGTCTTCCTTTACAGGAATATTTGATATGATCGGATATTTTCAAAGTTAGTTTGACAAGGACACAGTGTGTCCTTGTCAACACTTGTGTTCACAGGGCCCCCATTTAAACTAGCTATCTGCTAAACTGGGCTGCCCTGTATAAATATTCGTAAATACATACCTACATATAGTAAATGCATGTATACTCCTTTTACTAACATTTGGTAAATTCACTACAAATTATCAGGAAGCGCCAGTGTGCAAAGGTTCTTTATATAGTTCCTTTCACAAATGATCTTAATTGTGATGTTGCCACAACGAGCTACTCACTCACTACTTCATCATAGGGCTTGTCTTATCTAAGCTAAAGATCTTAACCTTGTGCTGTAGTCGAGGGATTCTGATCCATCTTGTCTATATTTCATTTTTGACTTTACAATAATTACTGACGAGATCATCGACTGTTTTGGACTTAGGGGAGTGTATTTATGAAAGAACACGGACCATGTGGAAATTGAGTTCAGGTTATTTGGACGTCAAAGCACTCTCGTCCTCTATTAAGACTCTTTTAGCCCCCGTAAAAATATTTTCATTCTTGGGCACCAGTTTGCCTGCTGTCCCAACTGTGACGCGAAAGCGGGCTCACGCGTTTATCAGTTGATCCAATACCAAATTCTCTAAACTAACATCATAAGAATTGTATTGTAGACAGTGAGGAGAGTTGCTAATGAGATCTCGGCAGAGATAGGGTTAAGGCACTTCTGGCTTCACTTGAATCTTTGTTCTGTTCGAGGAAAAAGGTTGGCTCATATTTTCAGATCGTGTTGATGTGTGATGGAAGAGAATTGCTTTTCATTGTTTTTCCAGATTATTACAAAAGTGATTTATTAGGAAGCCTTTGTTGTTGTCTTCTGGACAGTTTGTAAATCTGTCATGCTCATAATTTACCAAATTTTCTTGTGTTCCCCTGACATCTCTCGTGAGCGATGGAAAGAGCAGTATATTGTTTTTTGATGGTAACATTGTCTGTTTTCAATGGTGGCAATATCTTTTGATGGGAATTGCTTGTGGATACCAGATTGTACCCTTTCTTTCCCTATCGAGCAGTCTGTTATGAGTTATGGCTGATGAAAAAATCCCTCGTAGACTTTAGATAACCTTTATTTCACCGGGAGCTATGTTACATTCATTGTGGTAGCGTATTGATTCAACCCTCGGAAATAGTGATCGATACTTGCTATATAATTACCAACCATTATAACTAAACTGTCATTTATCATTATCATTATCCCGTAAAGAATCCTTTGAACTTACTCCAAACTGTCTCCCCATCACTCACATTGGCGGTCTTAACTTCATTTCACTGAACTTCAGAGAAGTTTCTTTCCTCAGCTTCTTCTTTCGCCAAACGATACCAAAGTGATGGGGGTCTTTCCCGATATCTTCTCGGTTGATGTACTCCCCGTTCAGATTGCAGTAAAAGCAACTTTTGTACCACCATCCTCCCTTATAGCGCTCGGCACAGTTTCTCTGAGACTTATCATTGTCTCTGTCTTTGGTGGAGAAAGGCATGGACCTGTGCGGACGAAGAGCATCACCAGCAGAGCCTTTTCCCTTGCTTAATGTTATCTGGTACAGAGAGGCCTCGTCGCCGACGTAAAATTCCTTGTACGTGGTTGTTAACGTTTTGTGGGGGTGATTCCAAGCCTCCAACTCAACTCGTAACGAAACCCTTCGATTGGCTGTCAATCGATGGAGGTTTTCATTCCCAAGCCAAAAGCTTGTCCTCCTTCCCAGACTACCAAAACCGTTTTTATATTCGGTCCAATTCCGAGAGAAGTCTTTCCTGTCGTTGATCCTTCTCTGGAATACTGTCCAACCACCTCCATCTGTTTTCATGTCACAAAATACCTTGATTGCGCCTTTTCCATCGGGCCTCTTCCCCGGTCCCTCACTGACCCTTTGGCGTCCTGACCATCTTACATGCCTGGGAATAAAACTATATCCTAGAATTTCCAGCGCAGTCAAAAGTTGGCCTACCTTTTGGTAAACATTCGGCAGGTCTAGTAAAACTGATGGATAACATCACTATCAACAAACAGAAACTTTGTAGGCCCATTTCAATATCTGTGAACAATAACGAACAGAAACATTTATTATAAGACCATGACAAGCGGTCGAAGATTAAGATTCACTATTTTGATGTAACCTTGATGTAGCCGACGCCCTGGCTGTCACGAGCTACTCTCCCCTATAGAAGGAAAGAACAACATTAACAAACCCTGATGCAACAGAAAAACAGCTATCTGAGGAACATCCTATAAACTTGAAATTTTTTGCGTAGAGGCAAAAAAATATTTGCTCTCCAGAGAAAAATTTCACAATTACTACGTGTCTTTTTCAGCATGAACCGCGGGAAAGCATGTGAATTGATATCCGCCGATTCCCTTTCAGTTAAACTCTCTCTTTCCCTCTTCAGATTATTTTCGGGTGATATTAATTCAACGTGGTTCTCTTTTTAGAAGGCTTGCCTGGTTTTGTAAAGAGTTTCTCACCCACGGGGCTCTCTACAGAAAACTCGATTTTTGCATCGGGGTTTGGTCGAAATGGAAAAAAGTAGTGTTATCCAATTTTTATTGATTATTAGCCGTTCAATTTTGAAAGAAATTAACGGAAAAATTACAATGCGAAATGAATGGTTATTGAAAAGACTCAAGAAGTGAAATTGATCTTACATGATCAATGCGCCGGCTTTATGTAAAGAAATATGGTATGTAAATATAAAGCTTTGAAATCCGACAGAGAAAGAAGAACATCTTTTTTTATTTAGTGGGTTATAGCATTTTGAGAAAAAATGCTAGACAGTGTTTGTTGATCTTTTTAAAAAGACTGTATTCCTACAGGCTTGAGTGGAAGTTTCTTTAAGGGAAAGCTCCTGATAAGACGCAGAAAGGTTTAAAAAGTGCAGCTACGCAGAACGATTATTCTCTGTTCAGGTAAGAAATAAAAAAAAAAACAGATCAAATATAAAAACCAGTTCTCTGCTTCCATTAATTTTGACTGAGCTTTCCGGATAGTCTATCTGCTGTACCTTGAGCGGAAGAAAACGATTTTTTGCACTCGACGGTGGAACAAGAACGTTGTTTTCATCTCCTTTAACGATTGACTCTGAATGAATAGTCATACGGTTGATCTAACCTGAGTAATTAGATTTCATTCTAATTGAAGCAGATATACTTACTTTTTCTCTTTTGAGACACAGTTTTTTGTTTTTGCTTTCAATTTTAGCTTCACTCTGGAGGAATTCTCTCTTTGGAAATGGCTGAAGAAAGTCACCGAACATAAACACGGGGATTTAAAAGCAATTAAGTTTCCATTTGAGACAGTTCCATTCGTTCATAACAATTTCAGCAGGGATCTTTCATGCATGCATAGCTAAATAAGTTGCCATGGGAGGTGTTGAGAAGACTGATTACAAAAAACGGCTGTGCAGAAGGAGTTCGAGAATATGTAAGAACAAAGATGATAACGCAATAACTTATGTCGTTGTAGCATGGCGTATACCAACCTGATAACACCATTTGTCATATAAATCTTGTTCGCAATTAGTAGGTCATTGTATATTGATATAGCTTTAGTAACAGTGTATTTTAAAGAACCGTTCCGAAGGATCTCGGGATCCCGATGTAGTTTGGTTTATTTTTGGTGTCTCGTCCGACCAGGATGCGTTAAGTTTTCTGCAGGAATTCAACTATCTTTTTTGATGAAGCACTCTAAGTAATTACGTTTAAACCCCTTTCAAAGTCCACAAAGACTACGCGAGCAACAGTTTGTAAAAGGGACGGTCAGAGTTTTCAAAGAGTCTCACTCGTCAGTATATTGAAGACTGAAATAGCTGATAAAATAATCATTGATAAAAACTAAAAAAAATAAAATATAATCTCGTATTTTTATTCCCTACAAGGTTCTTGTTTTGTCTTGTTTTGCTTTTTTTTTTGTCTCTTTTTTTTTTTTGGCAGAAATGCCGTTGAAAAGGTTCCTATAGTTCGCCATAGCATCTAGTATTTTCCCACCTCGAATTTTTCGATTCGAGGTTTCAACTGACAATTATCTTCTTCACTCTTTAATGGCCCAAATTCAATTTGTTTTTTACACATCTCAAATAACACTTATATTTACATCAATTTGTTTTTTACACATCTCAAATAAACACTTATATTTACATTGATGCCGCTTTGAAATTTTCGAGCTCTAATAAAATACCGAAAACATTTTCAGATAGAGCCAGTTGGAAAAACTGTGTGCGAAGAGAACACATTTTTGTCCTTCTTTTTATGTAACTTGAGTTCTAGGTCAGACTATTCTTTTTTTCATCTGTTGTAATGTCTTCTGGCCTAATTGCAATTTCTTTAATTGCTGTTAACCTGCGAGGATTATTTCCTTACTTGCATTCAATTATGGTATGATGCAGATATAAACGATATTACATGGCCGCGCGGGAATATGAATTTTATCGCCGAGTGCTGTAAGTATCTCTCACGGGTGAGCGAAGCGAACGAGTGAGAAGTACTTTTAGCACAAGAAGATAAAATTCGTATCCCCAAGCGGCCACGTAATGTTCTGTTTATTTTATAGATGCTGATACCGTCAAGCCGCGCGCCTGAGAGGGAAGCTCTCTTATAAGCTAATCGTGTTAGTAACCAAGGCGACACCAATATCCTCAGGCGTGAAAGATAAAAAAAAGTACCTTCACCGCGCGCAATAAAGATATGATTTTTAGGAAAAGGAAAAATCCTGGTATTTCATCAGTATCTATATGATAAATTAAATTTTCTAGTGATAATAAGAGGGTGCCATTGGCTACCCGTTTGCAAAATGACTACACACATAAGAATTGGAGCTTTTAACGTTTTTCACGCAATTTACGTTTCACGGTAAACTGAAACAAAATTCACGGATCAGTTTTTTCCTATCTTCTCCTTTCTTTTTCTAGCTCGTTTTACTTGAAAATCCAATATCGCTAGGTCTTTCACCCTTTGCAGACGTTTCATCTTAGAAATGTTATAGAGAGACCCATTCTTCCATTTACCCAAAATGTTTTGAGGCCGTTTTGGGCAAACAAATCGAATCTTCCAGAAAAAAGTCCTTACCATCATGTGATAAACCTTGTTTCCAGTGATCGTGGTTTTGGACCACTAGGCTGTCGTTCCTGTGTGAGTCACTCCTCGCGTATATAAACGGAAAAAGTTGAAATCTCTCTCATCTTGACTATAACGTTTCATTGAAATCTTGACGTTTTCACGAAATGAAAGAATAAATTTCCGGATCACGTATATTTCAAGACGTGAATCGTGCCTCACACTGACTAAAAATTCACAAATCACACTCACCTTTCTGTAATAAAATATAAACGCTTCACGTTTTAATATTTTAACTTTAGTCACGCGTCATGTATAAATCCTTTGCCACTCTGTTTAAACGCAAGCAGAGCTCAAACCCCTATCAGCTGCCAAACATCATCATCCCAAAAAAGATACGCTGGTTCATTTGTAGCATCTCGGCCACCCTACAGACTGTTAAAATACCTTAATTTTAAGAAATTTAATTTTATTTACGCTAAACAACTTGCAGTCGGTGAAATGTTCGCTCACGCGTCGCGCTTGATTACAAAGCCGCTTTCATGAGCTCGTAAAGAAGGGTAATCATGGACCTCGAATAACTTATGAATGAAGTCACGTTTCACGAGAGAAAAACTATCCCAATCACGTTTTACGGTAAAAGTGTTTAAGGCCGCTTCAAATCATCTGAGTAGTACTGCGTGAATAAATTAACGATTCCTTAGAGGGGCTTGGGGCGAGTCCTTGCAATACATAAAAGTTTTCACCTTTGGTTTTCTCGGCCGTGAGCAAATTGAGAAAAATATCGGGACTTTCAGATACAATTACGGCATCCGGCCCAGAAAATCTGTTAGATATGCAGACAAAACCAAAGTACTGGCTAAAAATATAACTGACTCTTGCCAGACCCATGCCCGTCAAGCCTTGTTAGTCACGTATAATTGGTGTAGCATACACGACACTCTAAAGATTTGTGGCGCTAAATAGGGAAGAGTATCTTCGATTCTCGCGATCGACCAAGATGCCACCAAAAAAGAATAAAGAATCAGAGGTAGGATTTTCTGTACTAGGAAACCAACACATTACTAGTTAGAAGTAGCAACTGATTAGTGAAGTCAAGCTTAAAATGCGACGAATTGCAAAAATCGGTATGGAACTTCCTTTCCATGTGCGCCACAGCTGTGTACTGACATTTCATAACTATGCTACTCAATATGTCATAATGAAATTGGTTTGAGTGAGTACGTTTTCCTTTGATTTAAGGAAAAAAAAATCAGAAAGTATTTTATGTATTTTTTCGGAAAAGGAAAATCTTAACCGCGATTAATCATCATGATCAAAGCCCGAGATTTTTTTTTATTGCGATTTTAAGTTTCTCATGACTACCATGTTTAAACTGAGGTATTTAGATTTTTTAACACCCTATTTGAAAACCTTTAGGATAGTTGTGCCATAAATCAATGGAAATTATAATCATATATTACTTGCTTTTGTGATGAAATCAATTTATAATCGAAAAAGAAAAGAGTAAAATTCACAGGAAATTGATTCAACCAACTAAAATTTTTATTATAATCTGGATGATATAATAAATTCCCTTCAGCTCCAAAGAGTCAACTGGCTTTTAATTTCTCCTTACAGCGTCACCTTTTATTTGAGGTCATGTGAATAAAGGAAATGATCACCAATTTAAGAAAATCCTGATTATCAAACAAATTCTCCCTGTCTGTATACCCTAGGAAATGGTATACTGACAGGGATACTCTATCCATTGGGCTAACCGCCTCCCAGTTAGCTCAGTGGATAGAGCGCTGGACTGTTGTGCGGGAGGTCGAGGGTTCGAGCCCCGGCCGGACCAACACTCAAGGTCTTAAAATAATTGAGAAGAATTTGCTACCTCTCTATAACAACATCAAGAAATGGTTACATATTGTAGTCTTCTTGGATAGGGATGAATAAATGGAGGTCCCGTCTCCTGCAGGGTTAGGGATAGGAGACGTTAATTTCTCACACAAGAGATTACTGTGTGATGGATGTCCTCCCCTGGGGTGGGATGGGTTGGAGGGTGGACTAGCACGAATAGTTCCTATGTTCCTTTCTAGTCCGACCCCACTGCAAAACTTAATGCAGTGAAAATGGACTAAATGAAAATTAAATTAATAAATTAAATTAAATTAAGTTAAGAGAACTGTGTAGAGAATGTGAATGTTGTAAGAGGTGAAAGAGAAGTTGACCCTTTCTTTCCTATATTGAAATCATTTTACATATCAACATCAGATGACCTCCCACAAACTTCTCTGTAGGAATGATTTATTATCCTCGGAAGTCATTCTAATGTTGGCTAAATCATTTTAAATTTATCCACACTCGAAATCATCATTTTTGTTAAACAAATATTTGTTTTAAATTTCATTTAGTTTTGATTCAGGAGTGAAGTTATTCTTAAGAAACTGAAATGATAACAATTAAAAAGGGCGAGATTACAAAGACTGAGAAATTAAAAATTTTTGTGGTTTATTTCTTAATCATTAATTTTACAAAGGGTAGCAAAGGAAAAGGGAAACGTCCTGCAAAGAAAAACACAGCTGATGACAGTGAACCCAAATCTAAAAAGGCAAAGAACACAAGTGTTGAATCTGAAGAATCCGTTGAGGACGAGGAAGAAGCTGGAGAAATTGACTATGCATGTACAACTACCTGCAAGTAGGTGACTTGCCAAAATTTATCTGATTACTCAGTGGATGCTACAGCACTAGGATTTAGGGATCATGTTTACTGTAGGTAATCATTGATCAATATATCAGTATAGATATCAGTTGAGAGTCAGTCGATACTCGACCAATGTGACTGTTGACACTCGCTTGATACTTGGTTGACACTCGGTCGATAGTCGGTCAACACTCAGTTGATAGTTGGCATACGTGGTGGAGACTTGGTGGATAGTTGGAAGTTAACAAACTTGACTGATATATTGACTGACTATCAACCGAGTCTCAACTGAGTATCGGCCAACTTTCTACCGACTATTGACTGAGTGTCAATGGACTATCGACCAAGTGTCAACTGACATATCAGTCGAGTATTGACGGAACCTTGACCGATATATCAACCAATATACTGGTCGAGAGTTACCTATGGTAAACATGACCAGGATTTTGAATGAAATCAATGAGAAACAAAAGCTGAATAGTTGAAAATCCCAATAACCCATTATTAGTTCTCATTAAACCAAGCTAAAGCAACAGAACAACTCTTCATCAGAGTAATGCTTCATTTGCTGCATATGTTGTTAAATATTCGTTGGCAAAGTGGTAAAGAATTAGAATTTGCCTATGGTTAAGTCTTTTTCCATCTTTACCTACATTGCTTAAAAATATTTCATTTGCATTATTATTTTCAAAAATGTTATCTCTGTAGGAAATGGAACTTTAAAATTTCATCCTGGAATGTGAATGGAATCCGAGCTTGGCTGGTAGGAAGACTGCGGAAATCTACAATTATATTTTGTGTAATGTCTACTGGTCTGAGATAATTGTCATTCAGTTACATAGGCTTCCAAAGTCATTGTTAACATCATAAAAATGCAACTGAAAGTTTATGAGTATACAAGAATTGCAGGCGAGTATTACAAACAACAAAAAAAGGAAATGTCCCACATGCTCTTAAAATTAGACTGAAATTCTATGGCAACCTGTCTAATCATCATCCATAATTTACCACCTTCCTTTTATGAACCCCATTTTGTCCCTCAGTCAGCTGATAATTAGAATTAATCAAAGTAAATAATTTTCTTGTTTTGAAATCCCATAATTGACTTTATTATTAATCTTACTGTTGTATGAGATTGAGAAATGACATAATTTGCAATTCCAGTGCCATGAGAAGATGGGGTCACTGGCTGTTGATTAATTTTTAAATTAGCTCTTTTTCTTGGAACTGAGTCAACTCCTCTTCAAGTAACTGACTGCTTTTGAATGTGGCCTGTCTAAAATCATGTTATGGTTTTCAATAATATTCTTTGTTTATTCTCTTTTTGCAAATATTTAAAAAAATTGTTCAAGTTCTTGTATTTCTGTGCTAGCTTTTATTCTCACCATAGTTTTCATTTAATAGAACAGATAATTTGAAGGACATCTAGATGTCTTAAGTATGAACTTTTTCCTTCTTAGTTTGCAAAGTGTAAAGAGCTGCATGGATTTGAATCAAACACCTTAAGTTTGTGTTATAAATACTCTGTATCCAATCAGTGAATTGCTTTGGGATTTTTTTATTGTTTCTTTAGAAACATGGCTCTACATTGGCTTACATGAAAAAAGAAGATGCTGATGTTTTCTGTATACAGGAGACAAAATGCCCAGAGAAAGAACTTCCAAAGGTCCATNAGTGGTTCGAATCCCGTACAGGCCTAATTTTTTTCAGGTCTGATTTTCGCTATTGCTTAAATAGCGCTATCTACTGCGAGGATCGTGCATCATATGTATCTAATACCGCAGTACAAAATATATGAACTTCATATATTTCATTGTATCTCATTTATCACTTTCACGGGTTTATTACGAATCAACTTAACGGCCTGCTCCCAGTTGGCTTGTTAGCTCAATTGGTAGAGCGCTGCACTAGTATCGCAGAGGTCAGTGGTTCGAATCCCGTACAGGCCTAATTTTTTTCAGGTCTGATTTTCGCTATTGCTTAAATAGCGCTATCTACTGCGAGGATCGTGTATTATACGTATCTAATACCGCAGTTCAAAATATATGAACTTCATATATTTCATTGTATCTTAATAAATAATAAGTAACAATAATTATAATGATGGAGAGGCAGCATTCAAAAGCATCCTAGACACCATACAAGGGATGCTCCCCAGTAAGCTAACAAAATATATCTATGATATCAAGAAACAATTGTCAGAGTATGAAATTTAATATGAAAATATTAAATTGAATTAAATCTGAAATTCTAAGTATTACCAAAAAATGAAGTGACTTTATGTTTAAGGCTAGAAATACTGACAGAATCCTTCTTATTAGTAGGTAGACTATTCCATTCATTAATAATACGGATAAAAAAGCTACATTTGAAAATATTTGTTCTACTATACATGCTAACCAGGTCAAGAGAATCATTCTTCCTTAAATTATAATCCACAATACGATCTTTACAGAACAACAACTTATAAGAAATATCTAAATCATAATGCTCTTTCATTAAATTGAATAAAAAAACAACATCCCTGATGTATCTTCTATGAAATAAACTTTGTAATTTTCATTTCTTTTATCTAATATCATAGTCCTCATCGGATTTAAAAATAACTTAGTTGCCCTCCTCTGGATTGCCTCTACGTTGTGTGTGAGGATTCCAGTTCTCACACACAACCCTTCTACTCACTGAACACTTCCCTTATTCTGTACCTACTCAATTAAACGCTGCCCTGGAAATTTAAGAAACACATTGCCCTCCCAGTAAAGCCGCATTCCCATCAACGCAGCATCGGAAACACTTGAAATTTTCGAAATGACGGGACAGGTTTTAATCGCGTAAATACAGCAATGCTATAATTACAGTTGTATTATCACTTACATTTACATTGCGGTTATTCCGTTTCTGCAGACTTTGCAGCAAAGTGAAGCCTTTAAATGTATCCTATGGCATAGGTCAGTAAAATGACGGACAGGTATTCTTATTTCAACATTATACTCGACAAATCACTGACAACAATATTGGAGTCTTGTCTTGCTCGAGAAGAAAAAGAGTATTTTTGAGTCGATGGAGTGATACGTTAAGTTAGAGGACCCTGCTCAATTCCGAAGTTTTTCGACGTTTCCGAACACATAACGAAACTTTCCTGAGGGATCTCGAGAGGAAAGTACATTAGTTTTTGATATTTGAAGTGAGGTGGAAACCTGGATGGAGAGGACCCGATCATTTCCGATGTTACCCAATGTTTCCGAGCACGTAACGAAAATTTCCTGAGGAATCTCGAGAGGAAAGTAGATTAGTTTTTGATATTTGAAGTGAGGTGGAAACCTGGATGGAGAGGACCCGATCATTTCCGATGTTACCCAATGTTTCCGAACCCGTACCGAAAATTCTTTCAGAGATCTTGAAGAGATCTGACACTAACTCTTCAGTGTTCTCCCTTTTCAAATCAGAGGTCTCGGGGATATATGTTTCAATAAAAAAAAGCCTTTTCTTTCTCTGTCTGTTTGTTAAACTGTCTCAGTCGCGGCTGTGATAAGCAAGAATTTTCGTAGGAGGGAGAAATTGTTGAAAGGTTTTAACTTTTGATCCGAAGACGCGAGAATAGCGCTGGAGCCGTGAGATTTTGCAGGTGTAGAGTATGTATTTGTCATTCATGGCCAATACTCGTAAATGTCTCTGCAGGAATCGCGGCGCATGACAACGAAGGACGAGTCATTACCGCTGAATTTGAAGACTTCTATTTAGTGACAGCTTGTAAGTGTTTGATATTTCTAGTCTCGCCGTAAAGTCTCTTAACCTTTCAACTCCCAAGATCCAATTAGTAATTCTCCCTACTTACTGCAATAGTTTTTCTTGTAAATTAAACAGGAGAATTTGGTTTTACATCATAATAACATTCTGCAGCTGATTAGCTTGTCTATTTTCATATAGATATACCAAATTCAGGAAGAGGACTTGAAAGGTAATGACGTTGTTTCTTTATCACGAAACCATATGACTTCCGTATTCTCGGTAAATGTTCCCCTTTTAGTCAAATTGTATAGTTTATACAAACTGCATAAACAGGGCTCGACACTAACGGGTAGAAAACTAGCCACAGACCCGTAGAGATTCAGTCTTGGCTAGTGGTTTTCGATTTCCACTTACCAGTTTGGCCAGTAAACAAACTGAAATTGTTGTAACATCTAAGTTGTCACTAGCCACTTGGCTGATAAGTTGAAAAGCAAGTGTCGAGCCCTGATAAAGCGCCCAAGAACATTTAGCCGGAAACTTTTGGGTTCTAGATGGAAGGTGCTTTCTACAGGCTCTAAAAGAATCATCAGAGGACTGCAGAATTGAGTTTTACTGGTCGATTTGACATCACCTTTTGATTTAGTTTTTTAGGAGATTAAACATTGAATTAAGTTGCTTGGCAGCATCATAACATCCGACAAAAACTGTTAATAAAATTTGTTGTTCCATCTTGAGACTGAGTAGACTTTCTCCAAAAGTGATGCCTTTAATTTGCGTTTAGGCTTGATTATCGCCAGGGCTGGGATAAAGATTTCAGACAATACCTCAAGGAACTGGACAATAAGAAACCTGTTGTTCTGTGCGGGGACCTCAATGTAGCTCATAAGGAAATAGGTATGTATTCCTTACGGAGACTGAAACTGTTGAGAGCC